GCAGACCCTGAGGTCAGGAAACACTGCTTCTTGCCATGTGACCACCAGACATCCAGAGAAGGAAACTACTTCTGATGTTCGAAGGAGGCCAAGTTATAAAACTTACAACACACATAAAGGGATTGGCCAAGGTGATTTGAATTCTAGAAACTACTTCTGATATTCAAAGGAGGCCAAGTTATAAAACTTACACATAAAGGGATTGGCCAAGGTGATTTGAATTCTTTCATCCAACAGGAAATATTGAGCACCCGCTGTGTGGTGGTTACTATCCCAGATACAGTGGATATCCAGTCAACAAGACAGAAGAAATAGTCAGGGCTTCTCTCTTGAATACGCAGGTTTTGCCTTGAACTAGAACAGTCCACTGAGGGGCAGAGAGGGCAGTTACTCTAAAGGTAACCTCTTCTGGCCAAGTCCTGTGCCTGAGAAATGGTGACCACTTGAGTGAGGGTGGGGCAGTGCCATTTTCTAATTCTTACAAAAGTTTATTATGGGTCCTTACAGGTCATACAGGTGGTCTCTTGTCTCATGGAGGGGTCAAGTGGGGTGAGAGAGACATTAAATAGGTGGACGTCTTATAAATAAGAGAATTTCATATTAAGTGCTGTAGGACAGGGGTCCGCAACCCCCGGGCCGTGGACCAGTACTGGTTCATGGCCTGTTAGGAGCAGGGCTGCACAGCAGGATGTGGGTGGCAGGTGAGTGAGCGAAGCTTCATCTGTATTTGCAGCCGCTCCTCAGCACTAGCGGCACCGCCTCAGCTCCACCTCAGATCGTCAGGCATTAGATTCTCATAGGAGCACCGGTCCCTGGTGCCAAAAACGTTGGAGACCGCTGCTGTAAGAGATGCCTCTGGTGCCCGTGCCATATGCCTTTGGCTCACCTCTGATGTCAGCCAGTACCCATGGTGGACAATTCCATGTGAACTCAGACTTTGCTGGAGCCAGCTGCCTGTGTCTCACTTCCAGCCTGCATCCTGCATCTCCTGCCTTCTGCCTCAGGGTTTTTTCAGATACCTTTCAGGAGCTCCTTGGCCAATAGCAGGCCAGCAGCAAAGGGGAATTTGTGCTTCTAGGCACAACTCTCAGCCAACAGGGGACATCAGGAATTGATGGGTAAATGTTCTAGTCTCCTAGTCTTTTAGGTGGGCAGTGCCGGAGTGAGTTCCTACCTCTTCTCATCTTCTCTGGAGTGTGAGTAGAGTCAAGCTCCCTTTTGCAGACAACAAGGGCCGTGCTTGCCTCAGATTCTTGAGGAAATCTAGACTTTAAGATACATTTGATGAAGGAAATAAAAAATGCCATGACTAGGAGTTGGGGGGAAACTGCTCTAACTAGAGAGGTTTCTTCTCTGAGGAGCTGGTAAGTGAACTAGGATAATTACTAATCTTTTTAGTGAAGACCTGATTAAACTGTCCTCAGGGCCCCAAGTGCTTTTGGTTTAGTGAAGATATTTTTGAGAGTAACTTCCAGGTTTGGGTTAATTATGCCCCCACCACTGAATACCAGCATCACCCAGGAGACAGAGGCTCACCGAGTACTATGATACCTGTCAAAAATGACCCGTGCTAAGGAAAGAGCAAGGTCAGTCCCTCCAACTTTCCCCTCTACAGAATGTTGCCAGAGAGCATATCCTAAGGGAGAGCAAAGGAAGGCTCCTGACATGGCTGTGTATTTCATACCTGGGATTCAGCTTTCAAAAAAGGATTCTGGGTATTTTACAGCAAGAAAGGCAGAGACAGTTGGACCCAAGCTGCCTTTGAAAGCAGCATCAATGATTTACTAAGATGGAAGGGAAATTCGAGGACCTCAGGGAAGTGGAGAAACTTGAGTGTTAACACTGGGGCAAGAAGTACCATGTATGTGACCAGAGATGAACCAGCTATCAATTCCAGCGCTTCTCTTCATTAGGACATTTCAGGAAATGCATGGAGGAAAATGCACTTCATTTCTGCAACTCTCAACCCTTCGCAGCCAATGACATCACTGTTTCCACTCTTGCCTGCACTGTTGCTGTGGGGCTGACCCTCTGGTCCCAGCACACTTTAGCAAAGCCCTAGACAGGGGCATAAAATCAGCCAGGGCCAGTTTCCATACCACACTTTCCCGCACCCTAGAGCGACAGGCCTTGGAAACAGTTCAGTAACTGAGAATTAAAATTAATTTTCCATTCCACCGTTCTCAGTTTTTGTTCCAGTGTTCTCACCCTGGCATCTTTCTGGTGACCTTGCTTAGTGCCTCAGCTCTGGAATTTTTTTAGCCTGTGATAAATGACCTCCACTCAGAGAAATCAAAATAGGCACATTCGAAGGTCGAGCTGGTGCAAATGTAGCTCATTTTACACAATAAGTTGTTTCCCACAAGGTGCCTATAAATTGCTTCTCTGGGCTTATTTTTTGGAGGCAGCAGCCACTATCTTTGCAAATGTTCATTTCCCTGCCCTGCTCCAGCTCTGCAGTGATGCTTGTATGTATAGACACATATAAACATATCGCAGATGCTTACCATTGAAAGAGCTATATGTACCATGAAAATCTTTCAATAATTATAAAACATTACACACCTCTCTGTTTTGTGATCTCTCCTTGGCAGGTCCTTACCTTATAGCCCTATTGCACATGGCTGCCCTTGTCCATTGCCAAGTCCACTTCCTGCCATCTGACCTTCCCACATTGCTACATCACAGCCGAGCTCTTTATTGCAGTTTCTTCTTGCTGGAGCACCGCCTGGTGTTTGGATTTTTCACACTGAATTTTCGCAAAGTGGGACTCAGATATCATGATATTTGCTTTGGCCTGATGGTTCTCTAGTTAATTCTAGACCCTTAGAGAAGGGTCGGTGTTTTAAGTTGTGGGCAGTTCGGAAAGTAGGTTTGCTTAATTTGGCATTTCCACTTCTTTTTCTTTATTTTAAAATTAGTTCTTAATATAAAGGTAACACAGAGTCATTATAAAAAAATTTGACCTCCCACCTACAACCCCGAAGTAACTACTATCAAATCTCTTATGGATCCTTCCGGAAATTAAATAAATTTAAATAAACACAGACAGTGTAAATTGGATTTTATTATACATACTCTTCTGTAACTTGTTTTCTGCCCATTAAGCAGTCTATCTTTCCTTCTCTGTGAAGGCAGGTTACTTCAGAACTTTGTTTCTGCTTTCTTTTCTCATTGCTGTCTCTTGTGAAATTCTCAGATAGCCACTAGCGGTGAAACATATGTGGATGGAATTAGGAGAGATTCAGTCAGCATTCAGGATTTGAAAGGAACGGGGTTAAATTCGAAGGCCGAGAGCCAGAAGTTAAGAAATGCGTTCGGAACCAGGATGGGCTTTGGAGGGTGTAAGGATGAGATGGGTACAAATAAACTCATGATTGGTATATCTGAACTCGGTTGAAGTGGGTGAAGACTACAGGGGGGCTCATTTTAATTTCTTTCTTTCCCATTAAATAGTGCGGAAGGCATCATATCTGCACAGTAGTAGCTTTTGCGTGGTACAATGTTAGTCAGTGGGACAAAATATATAACAATAATTGCTACCATTTACTGACCACCTGGTTTTCAGAAACTGCTTACACAAGGCCTAACACACATATTGTGCACTGTGTATGCATGATCACAAATGACGCCAAGTAGACAGCATTACCTGCATTTTATAGCTGAAAGGAACGAGTTTCAGAGAGCTTAAGTGATCTGCCCACAGCCTTGAACCTTGCATGAGGCGGAACCTGCTCAAACACCAACCTGCGTACCTCTAGAATCCACATTTTCTGCCACATCACATTAGCTCCTGCAATGATGACATCTTTTTTAAATTAAGTCTCTGAGAAGGAGAAAAGCATGTTAATAAAATAGGGGGGAAAAAAAACACCACTAGAAAGAAAGAAATGTCAGCTGAGCTTATAACATTTTGACTGGGCTTTCAAGCTCAGTCATGCTGCCTGCTGCCTTTTAACAAGCAGGACCCACAACCTTGCACCTGCAGCCAGAGACCCCGTTGGAAAAGTTCACCGGAACCACAGAAATGTTGTCTAGATGTCAGAGTCATGATAATAAGTAGTGTTAAGTCACAGAACACTTAACACTACTTAATACATGAAGTTTTAGCATCTCTTTGAAGATTTTTTTAATGGAAGATGCTCGTAACATGGTTAAGATTAAAACAGAGGATGGAAAATATGAATTTTATCATTTCGGTCTTGGTGATGTGACAGTCCCCTGCCTGATTTTTGAATTATTTAATTCCAGTGTGACCATACATTTAAATGCTTGAGTTGTATGTCAAAGAAATGTGGTCATATTTTCATTTCTAAGGGAAATATATATTGATTTAATGCTATAACTCAAGAAACAGTCCAAGAGATTTTTCTTGAAAAAAGGAATATGTGCATTTGCACAAAATCTGTGCGGACAGGTTGATTGTATGAAAGTGTGTCCACCTTTGGGCTAAGACCAAGGCATCTACGTTTTGGCCGAGGAACAGCTCTGTTTCCTGGAGCGCCAGTGGAATGATGGGAGGCCCTGACTCGAGTCTCTTCGGTGTACAAACTCCTGAGATCGAATTAGTCCCGTCAAAGCAAGAGGGTGTCTGGCTGGAGCAGCTCTGTGGCTGACACTTCTCAGCACCCTTCAGCAGCTCCAGGATGATAATGCCCAACAGTGAATAACCTAATCAAGCTATTAAAGGAAACAGAAGCCCTTTGCCCTGTTTGATTTCTTCCCATAATGATATAAAGTGCAGTTTAATGAAGTCAAAGGGGTCCTGGGCCTTTCAGTGTGTTCAGGCCTTGGGAGGCAGCACTATTGAGTCTGCTGCTGATGTTCATTACCAGCCTGCTGCTGCCTGCCGGCTCAGCCAATGCACAGGCCTCTCTTATGAGCTGCATTATAGCCAGGCTTTCTGGGGCAGTTTCCGGTTGCTGCAGCCCCGCCTGCATTTTGTCTACATAAATTAGACCTTGTGCAGCATATTGGCCTGTCAGGGGACTAGGAAGAAACTGTATATTGTTTCTGGCATCCCTGAGCCCTTCTGCCCCTGACATCTGCTGTGCCTGTGACAGGGAATACATTCTTGACTCATTATCCGAGCAAGTGGAATCCCACCCTGACAGGACCATTAATCAGAATCAAGCAGTCCGGCAAATAAAAAAGAGAGCGAGCGGGTAAGCATGGGAGTGAGAGAGCAACTACGGAAAAGAAAAGGGACACTTTCTAACTTTGGCTTCGGTGTCATTCGGGGTCTGGACAACTAGCAATCTATCTTTCTGAGTGACAGACCTGATGGATGGCATTATTTATGCTTTTGTGTATTAAAAGACAGCTCTGGCACTGACTTGTCATTTTCACAGAGGTTTACAAAAAGTTGAAATTTAATTTGGAGGGAAATGGAGGGCAAGAATCAGAGGAGGCTGGCGGTTTGACAGTCTGCAAAGACAAGAGGGAGCTGAGGGTATTCGACTCTAGTGATTCACTGGACAGAGGTGGGCAGGAGACAGTGCAATGTGGGTGTGTGCGTAGGTGTGCTTCAGTGTGTTTCTCTTGTGTCGGGGTGGACCACGAATCTCTGGGCTTTTAAAAGTGCATTCAGCATATGTTAATCATTTTATTGAGATGAATGCTGGGATTTTTTGCTATGAAAACATGCAAATGGAAAAATATACTCGAGTGCTTGGGAATGTGTTTTTACATATATGCGTGGAGAAACTTTAAATGATTATTTCCAAAGCTAGAGCATTGCTCGAAATTGGAACCTCATAAATATATTGGCGATGCTGTCATCCAGTGCATATTAAGTATTGAATAACAACTACAAGTAATTTACTGTTCTGTTGACTAAACCACAATGAGGAGCCTATGAATGTATATGGGTATGTGTTGAATAAGTGGAGTAGAGAAAGACACAGAGGTGGGTAGGGGATAAACGATACTGTCGGACAAATTTCTCACACTCTATGTGTCATCCTTATAAGCTAGAGGAGATCACAGGAAGGAAAGGAATAAAGGACATCACTAAAAGATTAGAGCACTGAACATTAATTAATTAATAATTTAATTAAGTAAAATTAATTAATTTTCCCAGTTTTATTGAAATATAATTGACATATAACATTGTGTAAGTGTAACATATCCAATGTGATTATTTGATACATTTATGTATTGCAGAATGATTACCACCAAGGGGCTAGCTAACACCACAATCATGTCACAAAATTACCATTTCTTTTTTGTGGTGAGAACGTTTAAGATCTACTGTTTTAGCAGCTTTCAAGTATATAAAACAGTTTTGCTAACTAGGATCACAACAGTGTATATTTATAACCTTCATTTATACACTCTACACTTTTGAACGCTTTACACTTGGCTATTTCTACAGACATCTGCTTTTGAATCCAGCAGTCAAAATGTATCATTTGCCTTAAATGAAATAACTTAAATAACTTTTGGTCTTTGATTTGTTCTTTTTTGCTATTTTTGCCATGTTAGCTCCTCACACTTTCTCCTTGAGGGTCCTGGACTTTGGGCAATTGCGGCACTGATGACATTCCCTGGTAAGACAGCAAAGCCCAGCTCCCTGCTCATAGACCACAGAGGGCACAAAGTCTGCAGCTCATGTGGGCTCAGCAACAAACTCAGTCTAACTATAAGCTGTTTTCCCACCCATGAATCTTTTTCCTGGAAGAAGGTGTATGGATGTCTCGCTCGTCAGCTTGGTTTTTGCCAGAATCTCCCTAGGTGTTGTCGGCTCTAGGCCTTGACCCTGTAAGATCATAGAGAGGTCAGAGGATCATCTACACTTGCTGAGAATATACAAATGGCATGAAAGCAGAGAGAAAAGGTACTGCAAAGTAGACTATTTCAAATTGGGGTTATATTCATTCTTAAAGAGAGAGTTTAGATCAGGATAAAGCTCCTGATCTAAAATAACTGTACAAATAACTGTACAAATAACTGTAATAACAGTAGCTTTCCACATTTAGAATGAGGTCATGTGCTCTTTATTCAATGAGCAGGCTGGTCAGAGACACAAAATACTGTGTCTAGATTAACAGGCCTTAGACCAATGGCTGGCCAGTCAAGAATTTGATGTCAACTACCAAGCTAAGTGTAACAACTATGACAGTCAAAGAATTCTCTTGGGAGGAGTTATGTTTTTGTGACAAAGATTTAGTCTTCTCAAACAACCGCATCTGTTGGCTTTGTTGTCAGACAGTCCTGGGTTCTAACATTAGCTCCACTACTTTTTAACTTTTCAATTCTTGGTGTCCTTATCAATAAAATACGGATAGTTATAATTACTACTTTGAGATGTAAAGATTAAATGTGACAATAAATGTAAATTATATCATAAAAATGCTGGCACATAGTAGATGTTCAAGAAACATCTCCAACTTAAAGGATTCATAGTCCTAAAATGAGCACAATTCCCTTCTAGAGTTTTCAGTGATGTTTCCAACTAGGAAACTGTTCCTTTGAAAGCATACCTTGATCTTTCGTTTATCATTATAGAATCTCATACGGTGTTATGAACTATTTCTCAATTTGAAACTAAAAAATTAAATATATGAAAAGGCTGAGAAAAGAGATAGACCTGGTGGGAAGTATAAAAACCAAGAGTTTTCTAAATATGGCATTTTATCTGTCAGAAAACACTTGATCATGTTATACTTTCGATCACATGGAGCAGGTTTGGCATGAGAGAGCATAGAGTGATAGACTGGAGGTAAGCTTCTCGATCTCCCTGGGGGCTCTGAAGTTATACCTCTCGAGGAGTGAGGCTGCTGTAAGAAATTACCCGCAGAAGCTTGGAGCTGGCTTTTCTAGGCACACCAGCAGGCTTCCCCCTCTGTGGTATGAACAGTTGTTTCTTAAACAAAGGGAAGAGAAGTGAACTCATCTTCAAAGATGTAACTTTAAGACAAATCAGTTAACACTAATGGGCCTCAGTTTCTTCATTGGTAACATGGAGATGATCATATTTTCTTTAGAGGGTCATTAAGTTACAGATATTACATGGGAAGTACCCAGTCCAACACAGTGCTTGAAGCACAGGGTTGGGTGTTCAATAAATGAGTCTATTATTATTGCCATAGTCTGACTTTCAGAAAACAGATTTGCACAAATGGACTGGACATTGACTCATGGAAAGAATCTATGTGCAGTAATTGTCCCCAACCATGAGTGTTCTTTAAGAAAAGCCTACCATAAATAAATTCCCTTCTACAAATTTTTCTTCTGAGTCTTTTAGTCTGAATATACTGAAAGTTTTAGTCAGTCTTGACAAGGATAATTAGAAAAAGAGGAAACTATGTTGAGCAGAGAGAAAGGTCATAAAGTGGGATAGATAATGGAAAGAATAGGCATTGAGATTTCTGCTGTGTTGCTTTAAGAGAGAAAAAAGGAAATGGAGACAAACTAAGCCTGGCCTTTGGGACACATACTTGCCCTTAAACCAACAAGGTGGGAACTGAGAGTTGAGTGAGAAGATGTGCAGTTAGGACAGGGTGTTCTGCTCTGCTCTTGCGTAGAGTTATCGCGGGTGAAGCGAGGTTCCAGCACAGCAGGGATTCAGGTCAGTAACGCCTCACTTTTTCCACTGCAGGAGTCCAACTTCCTTCTCATCTCTAGGTCTGGTGGCATCCAGGAGGAGGGAGTCAATAGCTGAATCATTATAAATAGCTAAATCATTATGGAACATCTGGATGGAGGAACAGCCACAAAGGGACAAATCTTCTTGGTATCCATATTATCTGCTACTAGTCAAAAGACATTTATATGCATCTCACTGAAAATGAGAGCCTGAAAATATTCTAGCATAAGGGGAGTGGTAGAGTAAATGGAATCTGAGTAAAGTAGCCAGTAAGTAGTAAAAATTAAACATCTGCAAATTGCATTTTGATAGTTTATTTTGTGTATTGTTTTCATTATTTTAGCAATTCAAAAAACACTCTTAAAGGCTTCCATTTATTTTCTTTGTCTCTTCTATTTTTTTCTCATAATATTTAAGCCTCTCACAAATTCTTCTACTATGAGGATTTTACACCTTGAAGAGGAAATACTATAGACATCTGCCCCATTTTTTTTCCAGGTGGGTAATTTTCTGTTGAATAGATGACTCAACTACTAGGGGAATGGATAGATGTGTCACCAACCATTCTGGATCTTCTCTGGACTAGTCCTATGACTTTAAGTAAAACAACAAATTTTTCTCTCACCTTGCTCAGATTTCAAACCTTGGTCATTTATTGTAAAATCCTGATATACTACTTTCATAGGTTGTTGAAAAATGCATGCAAATTTTTTTAGCAAAGTGTTTGGCCCTTCTTATAAATGGTTTCTATTCTTATTATCACATTCCTATGACAGCAGTAATCAAGTACAAATGGAAAGTCTAAAGCTAATACATTTTACTGGATGGAGAGTAAGAGAAAAGCCATGTGGGATTGGAAGATGAAGTAAACCATCTCAGGAAGGCATTTTACCTTATTTATTTCCATACAACAATTAGGTGATCGCTCTACCTGATGCCAGAGACTTAGAGATGAAAAGACACAGTCCTTGCACTCACACTCCGGAGGAGGAAATAAACACACAAACGCATAATCTCTATGGAGAGAGGCACAGACAAAGAGAAGGATCTGCAAAGAAACGCTCCATAGGAAACCTCTGGAGCTTGATAGCTGCCCCTAGGCGGCTCTCTCTTTGCTCTTTGGGCAGCTAGAAGAAGTAATATGGGCATTTGCTACCAAGAAAAGGGCAGGCACACTTTCTTGCTTTTAGCCCAGAAATTCTGACTCCGCAGTATCCTCCTAGGACAAATCTCTATTAGGCAAGCAGCTTGCTTCTGGGTCCCTGAAGTTCATTTGGTGGACTCAGCTGTTTGTGAACCCCAAAGGAGTTATTCATTAACATCAGTAAGGAATGCCTGACTAACATCTGGCTTATTGGGGGCTGGGCTTGGTTAATTCTACTTGGAACAACACTAGTATTAGTTCTGCTTGGATTAACACCAGCACTAATGATGACCTAAGATTCTTACTTCATTAGCCTGATGAAGGGAAAATCTTGCACGTTCAGCTTAAGCCAAAGAGTAGAGTCCAGATCCAAGACTCCGGCGCTGAGCCTAATGAGTAAATCGAGCTAACTGGACAGAGGAAACGACCCAAGCATAGAGGGAGAGCTGCAACAGCATGTTGCAAAGGGGACCCTGAGCCCAGACAGATGCGTTGGGAACACCAAATATTTTAGAAGTTTTAAGGATTGGAGGCATACTGACCTGAGTCTTATTTTTCTAAAGACAGTTATACCAAGCATAGGGCTGCTTTGGTTTTTATCTCAAATACCCACTGTTAAGAGACTAATGTCCTGTGTTCAGGAAATAAAATCATCAGCAGTTTGATCTGGAGTCTTTCTCTTTCTCCCTACTGGGCCCAAACACATATATACTTCTAGACACACAGATTCTTTGTTATCGCTCAGACTGCAAAGATTTAATAAACATGTGCCGTAAGTCTTGCAAGGTACCAGGGCTATAGCAATAAATGTGGTAGACATGCCACGCCCTCAGCTTGATGAAACTCAGATTGGAGTGGGGGCATACCAACAAGTACTCAGAGAACCAAAGATACCAACATACTGCAGATGGAATGCTACTTCACTCAGATTTGAGTAGGGCAAAGAGGGTGAAACAGGAAAGCCTGAAGCCAGAATGAATAGGAGTAATTCCAGAGAAGGGTGCTCTGGCAGAGAAGGTAACTAACTATTCAAGACCCTTCAGATAAAAGGGGACAGGGGTGGCTGCAAGACCTCCAGTGAGTTTTAAATTAGAACTGGAAGCAGTGAGAGCAGGAGTGGAGAAATAGGCAACATCGCAAAATCTATTTAGAACCTGACAGTTATAGTGGAAAGTTTATCAATATCTCTGTCTCAGATGACACCTTTGAAACTCTCTCACATAGAAGCATAATCAGAAATTCACTTCAGAGAAAAATTGGGATGCCTTACCGGCCAACATGTTCCAACTATTCTTTCTCAGGTTGAAGATATTTAGTAAACTTGTGGCTTTTTGGTTTGAGTTCAGATTCCTCTGTACTTCCTTGTTTCTCCTAGTCTGGACATGACAAATGTTGAGAGCAGTGGTTTTGTTTTGGCTGTCATTCTGACCCAGACATAACCAGGACACCCACTAATGGCTGCCAGTCTAACAATGCAGCCAGCCTGGAGAGCACCTTCGGATCAGGGGCTCCTGGGAAGAAACCAAGGGACCCTTTGGAGATAAAAAGCCCTTTCCTTGGGGTCTGGCTGCCTTCACCTGATACTCAAGTGTCCAGAGTCTCCCAATACTCAGCCCCAAATTAATAAAGTTTTATTCACCTCAACTGTTTGCATAACACTTCAGTCTCAACTGCACATTTATGCAGATAATTGGGCCGCTGTTTAAGTTGTGGAAAGAGTCAACAAACTTGCTGTGACTATCTCGTCTGTTGCCATTAAGTGCTTCCAATGCCTCAGAAGGCATTTCTTCTTTTGTTTATATATTGTATTAAGTGAGTCACTAGAGATAAATGAATCAAATAGCTTACCGAGCTCAGCATCGGCTCCAGCTCTTTAGCAGCCAGCAGAATTCATTAGTGCAGTGAGAGACTGCAGTTTTATTCCAAAACCAAATATCCAGTTAAGGCAGGATTTGAAGACTACAGTTTAATTCCTTTGAACAAACAGCAGTTTGCTAGTGAAACTTAGTTAAGTTTATTACAGTTGACAATATTAAAATTAAAAGAAAAAATTGTTTTTTTGCTTTTCACTGACCTAATGAAATGGAAAGGGACAGTAGGCAAAGGCTGATGATTTTGTTATGTTTTTCTCCTTGTGGTAGAAAGCTGAGGTTTGAGGTCTTTGCCTGTTCCCTTCGCAGCAGAAAAGCCTGGAGGGAGGGGCCTGGAGCCACCACAAAGTGAAGTCTGGGCTCTGAGGTCTCACATTTTCAGTCCCTGATTTGCTGATTATCCCTGAACAGGAGGTTTTCACTGCTCTGTGGCAACCCCTCAAGATTTAAAGAAAAATGGTTATAGAGGATTAGTGGGGGTCTCTGCAAACGTAAAACTTAAAGAAGACATCAAATGGAAAGGATAGAAAGCCCACTTTTAAATGAGTTTTCTTATCAGTAAGAAAATATATTCCATGGGGCCTGGTTTAGGAAGTGAATGGATCAGTTTAGATTTGCATCTGGAGCAAGAAATTTGAAGGAAGTGATTGGTGTGGATAAGGAAGAGCAGGGTCAGTTCCGAGTTCCCTGTTTAATGAAGGCCACCTCAGATATCGGTTGAAGCCAATCACGGTGAAGCCAATATTGCATTCAAGGAGACCTAATGTTGATTGCCTGTATATATTAAATAAATTACATATATCATGTATTTAGTTCTAAAACTGTGTGAAGTAGACAGTGGCCCTTCTTTTTGAAGAGGAAAGTGGAGCTCAGAGAGATCAGTAACTTGCCTAAAGACATACAGCTAAGTCCTGGAGCTGAGATTCAATTTGTCTAATGACAATGCTTATTCCCTTTTCACTATATTTCCCAAAAGGCATGAGAAAATGTGATGGGGGTCAGAAAATATTTTAGTTTTTAGGGAATTTGTGTACCTGCCTTTTTATAATATTGCTTTTTGGAAAGAAAAATTGGAAGGATCAACCTTATGATTTTTTCCTCTGGATTGTCCGTTGTGGGTAGATAACTCTCCATCCATCCGGCTCTGCCTCATAGGCCATGGAGTGGTTAATGCTCTCTCTGTTCCATTTACAGCCTTGGCCACCCTCTCTGCAGAGGGAACACAAGCACCTACACACACACACACACACACACAACTATGGATTACATTTCAAAATTCTTTCTTATTAATCTGACTTCTCTCAAATTCCTGGATTTCTCTCCTTACTGCAGAGAACAATTTCAAATGGGGGTGTGTCTTTGGGGGTGGGGGTAGAGATCATAATTACGTTACATTTATAATAAATTACTCACTGATCTGTTAACTGTCTCGGCCTCCAAAGCAACCTGGAATTTTACTTCTCATGCTCTGCTTTCCATTGTAGTTTCACAGTGGGATGCAATTTAGAATTATTTTCCGAGCCAACTACGTTACGTCTGATATCCTTTTGGTCTTGCATACTGGATGCTCTGTTCCCTACCCATTCTGGATATAGTCGAGGGTTAGATCTTCCAGGAATTGCTTCTCTGCAGACTTTCTGTACTTGACTCACATGCTAATATAACCTGTTCATATGAATTTCCTAGAGCTGCCTTACGAATTACTCTACAATCCTGGGGGATTAAAACAATAGAAGTTTATTCTGTCATAGTTCTGGAGGCCAGAAGTCTGAAATCAAAGTGTCACCTGGGCCACACTCCCTCTGAGGCTCTAGAGGAGAACCCATTCCTTGCCTCTTCCGACTCTGGTGACCGTCAGCATACCTTGGCTTGTGCGCATCTCTCTCTGCTCCATCTTGACATCACCTTCTCTTTTGTACATCTGTCTCAAAACTTCCTCTGTTTCTCACTTAGAAAGATATATATGATTGCATTTGGGGTCCACCCCCCAGAACAAACAAACAAACAAACAAACAAACAAGAAAACCTTCCCTTCTCAAGATCCTTAACATAAACACATCTCTTGCCATGTAAGGTAATATTCTCTGGTTATGAGGATTAGAAGGTGGTGGGCCTGT